TATTCCGCAAAAATTAAAAAAAAAATCTTGATTTTTTCCTTTTAAAACATGTATAAATATGCTGACTCGTCATGTATTTGAAATTAATTAATTAATTTTGTTTAAATATTTTTTTTTAAGTTTCCCTAGAATCATAATAATAATAATATTCTTTAGATGTAAATTTCAAATTTTCTGTGGAATTGTTTAACATTTATAAGTATAAACTAATAATAAAGGGATTACTTGTTTCATTTAGTTAAAATTTACGATTACACTTTTTATTTTACCATTTTCTATATATGTATTTTAGTCCCATATCATATGAATGTCTGAATATGTCAAAAAAATAGTATGTCATTTTTTTACAAGTTAGTAATCTTGTTTCACAAATTAACATGCATTGATAGAATAAACTTTGGTGGTTTATACAAACTAAAATAAGTTCTAGTCATTTGCTTGTGGTAAGTATAAGTTTTTATGATTGTTCTTTAATATTATTAATAATATCTTAAGTAATTCTTGGACTATTGTGGCAGAAAGTGTGTTTTTTCTTTGAGAATACAAGGATTATGTAATAATTCTCTTGTGAAATATTGTGATATGTGATTAAATATAGGATATTTCAATATGAAAGGTAAGTGACTATTTTTTTGTTTACATTTTTGCTTAATCTATTCATTAAGAATCATAATATTCATTAAAATATTATTACAAATAACAAATAATGTGTCACACAAATAATGAGTTGGGCAGGAGCTAGGCCTATACTTAAAATACTATACTTTTCTAGGCCTGTATATATATTAAACATTTATATTTAATATATTAATTATAATAAAAATGAGGCTAATAATAATTCAGTTTAACCCAATACCCAAGTCAATACCCTTCAATTAAAAGCATCAAAACAAGTTAAAAAATATATTTATGTTGTTTAGATAGGTATCTGTGTTATTAAAGTGTTTGTTTTTATTTTTGAATGAGTTATTTTGGAGTAATAAGCTGGATTTCCATTGTAAATCAAGTTATTTAATTTTTTTTTTTATTATTAAAAATCGTTATCGATAATAGGTCATTTTGGGACACACGTGACAAAAATTTGGTAGGCATTTTTAGACCATTGAACTGGGTGCTAACCTCTTGAATTTTTGATATGTTGTAATTTATGCTATTATCTCCCGTCGTCTTTTTATTTAGGAAAGACACCCTTTCCATAAAAAAAATATGAATGAGTAAAATAAGCATTATTTTACCTTCAATTTTCAAAGTTAAGACCTCAAATATTTTTTAGAACAAATGTGTCTAATCATAAAACAACATGTCTACTCAAAGTTGTGTGCGGAAATAGAATGTTCTTGCTGGGCTATAATTAGCAAAAAAATCGTAAACAACGAGGGTCTCGGTAAATTAAAAAGTGGAGGTCGCCATTTTGATAACGAAATCGCGATACCCGGTTTTCGGCGATTCCCGGATCTCATCGAAGTGGCTACTATAACTTACCAACTGATCGAAATCCCATAAATGCTATTTTTCTTTCTATAGCAGGCATGATTTTTGGAATAAATGATTTTATTTTGATATGGTGACAAACTGCTTTTTAAAAAAATTATTTTATTAGTAAATTTCCCACGATAATCAGGAAGTTCAGCCCTAGCAGAGTTATCTACTATGACTTCCCACAACAAACAACATGGTAGACTAGGGGGCACAACAACAATAAAATTATATGTTTTGATTAGAGTAACTAGCCTTTAAATATATCTATCCTAATATATCCGTATATTGAATACTCTAATCAAAACATATAATTTTTTAACATATAATATATATATATATTATAATAGGGGGAAAAGTTTGAAACACTTCTGATAAAAATCTCTTTAGGCACTATCGTATTCTTTATTTTTTTAACTGTTTATTACTTGCAGTACAAAAAGTATCCCTGATGTGTTGTAAACTGAGTGTTTACTGAATTACTGACTGGAAGTAATATTAGTTTAGTACATCAGTATTTTGTCATGTAGTTATTAATAATCACTTGTCCAGCCAGTGCCTAATTAAGACCACTGACTGAAGGCACTGAAGTGAAATAAACTATATGCTCTTTTAACATACAAAAAATATTTGGAAATTTTTAGATACCGTACAAATTTTTAAGTAAATCAAATAAGATTTTTTAAGCTTCTTATAGAATATATGTCTCAAATATTATTACATTTTCTTAAAATGTCAGTTCCATTTCATATGATTACAAATTAATGTTTACTTCTCAACACAATATGATTTGAGTTTAACAAGTTGTTGCTGAAATAATTTACATAGTCTTAAAATAAATCTATTACGAACAAATATTACTTTATCTATAATTTTGTTGTTAAATATAGAGGGTCTTCAAAAATCTATAAATGGATGAAAGCCTTGTTGTTGGACAGATGAGGGATGGAGAAATTTAAATTGGGATCTGGTAAAAGGCAAATCATTTGGTAAATCCATGTAGTAGATTTGTTTCCCCTTCTTTTGAAAGATTCTGTTAGGTAGTGTCTTTCCTATTTTGCCCTATTCATGACACACAGATGTTATAAAATGAAATACAAATTTCTAAATTTAAAAATGATGCCTATCCATTCTCAATGATTCCATTAAGCAGATCACTTCCATTGCAAATGGGTTTCTGTAAACAAGCCTGGAGTAAGACAAACATTAAAATAAATACAGTTAAGTTACAACCGAACTGACCGACTATGAAAATTGTTATTCCTGGTGTAAGAGGGTCTCTTCCGGCCGCCAACATCTGAATGAGTCCAATGTAAGGATGAAGAACCAGTGCTAAATGAATCAGCTACTTCATTGATGATTTTAGTTTTCTGTAGCAGAGTTCTACCCATAGCGCCCACACCTTCAAAGTCACGTGCTCGCTCTGAAGACTCTATCAAATTCAAGGTGGATAAGTTTGCATCATGTAGCTCTTTGGTAGTGAATCCAAAGTTGTTAGCCTGCATAAAACTGGGTGGGTTGTTCTTGCTGCCGCGAGGAGGCAGGAAAGGTCTGAATGATTTAGCCAGGTCTGGGTCAATCTCATCAATCCTGAAAGTGGAAAAATAGTTTTTCCCTTTATACAATTTCTTAAAAAATATAGATGGAGATGCAAACAAAATATCTTTTGAAAATCTACTGAAAACTAAGCTGCAACCATTAAGTCTGCTGTCTCAGGTGCATTTCAATAAGCTCAAACATGGTTGATAAAATAATGAATGCTAAAAATTAAATCAAGCATGCAGCAGTCTGATTAGAAGCACTTGTTACATGTCATAACAGACTCGAGAACTGGACAATGCATACCACTCTTGAGGAAATAAATCTTCCACTGCGAGATGAGATGTCAACTGGTAAAAGGAGAAGGGACCACATTCAGAACCAGGATATAAGACAAATGGTTGGTGCCACAAAAGTCAGCTAGTAAATGGCCCTACAATGAATTAATTAATTTAGCCATCTGGTCAGAATACCTGTCAATCAGCCTGGATTACAAGCCTACAACACAGGCCCTCCGGTTTTGGGACCAGAGGAAGACCACACCATTGGCATATGGGATGTGGTAAGGACACCCTCAAAGTTAACAACATAAACCTTCAGCAGGCCTCAAACCATCTGGGATGCAGCCAACTGCACCTCCCTGCAATGCCTCCCCCTAGTAAAAATTGGACAGAACAAGAATAGGAATGAATAAACAACTCACTTATGCTTGACTGTACCACCCATCATACGCTGCCGTGCACTTGACAAGATTTCCTTATTCCTCCTGTCCAGCACGACCTCTTTAGAGGAATTCCTTATATTTCCAAAATGTTTCAAAGACTTTCCCAGTTCATTGGTGAACCTTTCATCATTGGTCACTTTGCCTGTTGATATGAACACAGATTTATTTTTAATGGTTGGCCTTAAGCGGCAAATTTGTTTTTAATTGTTATTTTAAAGTGTTTTCTTTTAAGGAATATATTTGCCGTTTTTCTTCAGTTTGTTAGCAAACAAAAGGCTGAAGTTTCCAACTGTTGGTATAGATCAGCCTGATAAAAAGGACAGCCGTTATCACAAAAGGAGGTCCTTCTATACGGTATAGCTTGTGTTTGAGTCTACAAAATGTATGCTAGTCAAGAAATTTTCATAATTTTAGGGTGTAACTTTAAAATAATGAGTGAAAATAAAAGTACCACTCTTCTTCCTAAAGTCCCCTAAAAGCCCCTTGCACACTTTCTCCTTGTAATACAATTAACTTTCATTCCCTTATTGCCTCAGAAAAAACTAACCTAGTCCAGCTGATCCTTTATTTGATGCCCCGATAAAAGTGACCCCAAGTTTATTGTTTTTCTCAGCTATAGCTGGTGGTGTAGTGAAAGCACCATTATCAATCATGGAAGGAATCTGCAAAACTGCTTTGATTTGCCTGATGGCATCTTCTCTGTTTCGTGCCACGGATGCATCTTTCCTTTTACCTTTCCTATCAGATAAAAAGTTATGCAGTGATATTTAAATCTACTATTATTATAAATTGCAAATACATTCAAAATAACAATTAAAGAACTATTTTCAGTATTCCATAACCTCTTTAACTCGTGTAGAGATAAAATGTATATAAAATATTTATAGAGATGATTTAGGATGGCACAAATAAAAAGGTGGCTTGATCAAATGCATTTCAATGGATGATGGATCTTCAAATAACATGGAAAACTTGTGAATCCCCCTTTAAAAATAAAATAATTCAGCTTCTTAAGATCTTGCTGCATGTTCTTAATTTAATTAAATTTTGAAATTAACAGCATTGTAAAAACAATGAATATCGTGTGTTTAACTTTTATAAAACATCATCTTAACTATAGGCACTTCCCTCTCTCAAGTGTCATTTATTGTACGAGATATCAATACAAAACTAATGCATTTCAATTAACTTTATGCAAGGGGCAAAAGTGCCCCAACTTGCACAGAGTTACAATCCTGCTGGTTGACAAAACTGTTTCACCTTCTCCCCTGTTGAATATCCTGGCCAGAAAACCTTTCTTTGGCTTGTTCTTCTTTTCTTCCTCTTTTTCTTTTTTTCTCCTCTCCATTTCCAATCTTTGGGTCTTTGTAGGCACTTCTCTTGTGCCCCATGAAACATCATTCAGGTTGCAGATTGAAAAAATGACCAGCAGCAAATACCCAGAGGGGATCGTCAGTAAGTAGAGGACACCATGTATCAGGCACCAGATTTCCTATTTTAAAAAATTATTACATTCTGTTTGTGATGGTAAATAAATATATATTAAAACGTAATGAAGTCATTACAAAGAATTTGAATTAACTGCCTTAAAAATAAAACTTAGCATGCCCTTAAAAATGAACTTTATTTTAACAGGGGCCAATTTTAATTAAATCCTTCTCAAAATATATTCTAAATAGTCATATCTAGAAATTTAAAAATAGTTATAATGTCGGAAAAGAACATATATACGGTACCTTAGGATGACAGATGCCAGCAATAATGAAAATTCCAGAGAGAAGAACAATCACAATAACACTAGGATGGGATATGTTCTCCTTTTGCAGCTGTCTGAATGGTACCCACAAATACTACCATCATAATAAATGTGTAGATGATGCTGAGGATTGCTGCAAATATTAGTTGAAGCCTTGTCGTGAGCCAGAAACAGGAGACTGTAAATGCCATGGCAGGTATGGTGGCAAACAAATAGCTTTCTATTAATGTCATCTTGAATACTAACTTCACTGCACCTGGGAGATAATTTTTATAAAATTTTATAAAAATAATCTGAGATTTTTTGGGTGAGGAAGTTTTAGATTTCAATGTCAAGATAAATTTTTTAACATTATTTTTATATGCATTTTCTTTCCTTAAAATTATGTTGCGATAAAATGACATACATTCCTTAAGCAGTATCACACTGTATAGATTAAGTTAGAAAAAATCATTAAAAACATATTCAGAATTCAAGAATGTCTTATTGAAGTATGAATGTGAAAACTTTAGGAGGGCCAAAGTCAATGACCACAGTTTTGGGATGGCTGATGTAATTATATTTACCAGCAATCATCATGAGGATGGTCCCAGGTCCTAGAATTGTCCTTAGCATCAACAGCCACTGAAACAAAATGTACAAAATGCTCATAATGGGGTTCTTCTTTGTTGTCATTGAGGCGCTCCCCAGAAAATCCAGAATGTTAGCGATGGTGGAGGGCATCCAGCGACAACGCTGGTTGAAGAATTCAAAGAACCCTTCAGGCGAAAAGGTCCAGGCATCTGCAGCATATTCAATTCTGTAGCCTTGCTGAAGAAGAAGTGTACACAGCCACCTATCTTCACCTGTGGTACCAGAATTTTTAACTTTCAAACTTGCTTTCCTTTCTCTAGTTGTTAAATAAATAAATCAAAGCGGATTGGTCACTTTATTTCTATGGTTATAAGCCAATATAGAAAAGTTTAATTTTGCACTGTCTCAGCTTAAAATTTGTTGCTGTTTTTTCATTGCTATTGAGATGATACTGATGGTAAATTGATTGGTAATTTTTAATTTGTGTTATTTATGTTGTATAATTATAAAGGATAATTTTAGATGTAATATAAGATTTCATACACATATATTAAAGTAATTTTTTCAATGTTTAAATAAATGCATAAAACTTTAAAACTAACTGCCATCAAATCTAAATTATATTCAGTTTTTAATGATCAAGCAAATAGGATGCCAAAAATTATGTAATACAGATGATAATTTTTTGGATAAAATGACATATAATGTAGTTAACAAATGAAAAAAAAAAACATTTGCATTTTATAATAAGTGTAGTATCTGTAAAGCTCAATAAGAAGAAAAGACACACTCAGTGAGTCTAACATTAAGGACAAGCAGACAACCTACCCTGATCAAACTGTAAATGGTGACTTGGCTCAGTTGGTTCAGTTGTGTATTTTTTCATAACATTTGTGTCCATTAGGGCTGCGGCACGAAACAAACTGGAAGACATATGAAAAAAAACAAATTAGTGTTGTGAAACAACATTGTCTTTCTTGTGTATTTGAATGGTGAGCCCGTAATCCTATAAAATTTTTATCCCTTTATATAAATAATGAAGTTTGTTTTTACAATATCAGGTAGTAAAGTTGTTTGCTTAAAATCAATTCAGAGGGATGTTGATTTCCATTAGCCTCTCATCTACATGATGGGAGAGCGGTTCCTGAGCATCTGCCTTTTTTTTTCTCTTTCAACACAGAAACAGGAGACTGTAAATGCCATGGCAGGTATGGTGGCAAACAAATAGCTTTCTATTAATGTCATCTTGAATACTAGCTTCACTGCACCTGGGAGATAATTTTTATAAAATTTTATAAAAATAAAAATAATCTGAGATTTTTTGGGTGAGGAAGTTTTAGATTTCAAAGTCAAGATAAATTTTTTAACATTATTTTTATATGAATTTTCTTTCCTTAAAATTATGTTGCGATAAAATGACATACATTCCTTAAGCAGTATCACACTGTATAGATTAAGTTAGAAAAAACCATTAAAAATATATTCAGAATTCAAGAATGTCTTATTGAAGTATGAATGTGAAAACTTTAGGAGGGCCAAAGTCAATGACCACAGTTTTGGGATGGCTGATGTAATTATATTTACCAGCAATCATCATGAGGATGGTCCCAGGTCCTAGCATTGTCATTAGCATCAACAGCCACTGAAACAAAATGTACAAAATGCTCATATTGGGGTTCTTCTTTGTTGTCATTGAGGTGCTCCCCAGCAAATCCAGAATGTTGGCGATGGTGGAGGGCATCCAGCGACAACGCTGGTTGAAGAATTCAAAAAACCCTTCAGGCGCAAAGGTCCAGGCATCTGCAGCATATTCAATTCTGTAGCCTTGCTGAAGAAGAAGTATGCACAGCCACCTATCTTCACCTGTGGTACCAGAATTTTTAACTTTTAAACTTGCTTTCCTTTCTCTAGTTGTTAAATAAATAAATCAAAGCGGATTGGTCACTTTATTTCTATGGTTATAAGCCAATATAGAAAAGTTTAATTTTGCACTGTCTCAGCTTAAAATTTGTTGCTGTTTTTTCATTGCTATCAAGATGATACTGATGGTAAATTGATTGGTAATTTTTAATTTGTGTGACTTATGTTGTATAATTATAAAGAATAATTTTAGATGTAATATAAGATTTCATACATATATATTAAAGTAATTTTTTCAATGTTTAAATAAATGCATAAAACTTTAAAACTAACTGCCATCAACTCTAAATAATATTCAGTTTTTAATGATCAAGCAAATAGGATGCCAAAAATTATGTAATACAGATGATAATTTTTGGATAAAATGACATATAATGTAGTTAACAAATGAAAAAAAATCACATTTGCATTTTATAATAAGTGTAGTATCTGTAAAGCTCAAGAAGAGGAAAAGACACACTCAGTGAGTCTAACATTAAGGACAAGCAGACAACCTACCCTGATCAAACTGTAAATGGTCACTTGGCTCAGTTGGTTCAGGTGTGTATTTTTTCATAACATTTGTGTCCATAAGGGCTGCAGCACGAAACAAACTGGAAGACGTATGAAAAAAAACAAATTAGTGTTGTGAAACAACATTGTCTTTCTTGTGTAGTTGAATGGTGAGCCCGTAATCCTATAAAATTTGTATCCCTTTATATAAATAATGAAGTTTGTTTTTACAATATCAGGTAGTAAAGTTGTTTGCTTAAAATCACTTCAGAGGGATGTTGATTTCCATTAGCCTCTCATCTACATGATGGGAGAGCGGTTCCTGAGCATCTGCCTTTTTTTTTCTCTTTCAACGAGTACTTGTAAATATGAGGACCATGCTTTTAAAAATGTTTATCTTTTTTTGGTGCTTCACTTCCTTCCCTTTACACACTATTTTTTTTTCTTCTAGAGAGACGCATCATCATAAATAATATATTTTAAAAATAGTTTCAGCAAGAAATTAAATTATGTTTAGCACATTAACAAAAACACTAAGTTACAGTCCCATACCTGAAACAACCAGGACTACACAGAACACACCCAAACACATGTTCAGCAGCTTTCTGGAGCCAGTGACCAATGGCATACTCAAACTTCTGATACCATATCATAGGACCTTAGAAGAGATAAATGCAAACAGAATGAGGGAAAATAAATATGTCCAATGCTGGTTAGAAGAAGCTAAACAGAAAGATGCAGCGTTGTCTTTTATCAACGAAGATTATATGGCTTTAGGCTTATGAGAGCAATGATGAATAAAAATAAATGAATGTATTAAAATTAATGTTTTTGCCAATACTCACCATTTCCAATTGGATGGATTCTGCCACAGGCTGCACCGACATTTTCATCTCTCATTCTATCAAGCAGGATTTTTACAGAACCTGGTGAGAAATCTGTGTCACCATCCAATGCCAGCAGGAAAGTGTTTTGAGACTGCCGAAGAAAAGAGTGGTAGAGTGTTTCAATATATTATGGACAAGAGACCTGAAACTGAGGACCACATATTTTTTTGTTTCTGTTTACATTTTCTTATATTAGATGGAGGTTTACACTTTCAATATGGCATTAATAACTCATTAATAACTCATTAGCTTTAAATTTTAATAAATGAATAAATGATGAATTTTGATTAGGCACAAGTATAATAGTAGGCAGGGCATTTCTTGTATAAAAGATGATGACTACAACTTTTTTCCCTTAATAGCCCCAACTCCCCCCCCTCCCCTTTTCAAGTTATTCTATGCAATAGGCATTAGTTAAATTTGAATGCTTAAAAACAGATTGTCCACCTTAGCAGAGGCACTCTCTCCCAAAAGGTAGTTTATTTCTTGGATGTTTAGACCAAAACCTCCTCTCAGAGCATCAATGGTTTTCATTTTTTCAAGCACTTCATTTTTACAGGCCATGATATGACGATATCCCAGTAGGTAATACATATACATCACCTAGAAAAAACAGCAACATAATTAAATGTAACATATTGAAGACAGAAATGTTATTTAAAATCCAAATTTAAAGATAGAATTACTGACTAATTTTTAAAAAAAAATACTATTAGTTACCTCAAAAGCTTTTAAAAAATAAATTTGTTGGAAACATATTTCCCAACAAAATTATTAATTTAACAATTAATATAGAATTTCTAGATAAGAGATACTCAAATAAATACTATGTTAAAATGCTAGGAACAAAGCAAAATTTTAACGTCATTATCAGCTCTTCAAAGGTTGGTTCATAATCAATTTCTCCAAAATTGAAACCAATGTCATTTTTCAAAAAATACTTTTAGGTAAAAATATCATGTATATGATGGTGCTGATGAACAAAGAAAACAATTATGTCTGCTTCATTGGGATAGCAGTACGTAAGCTCAATCTCATATCTTATGTCAGCCAGTTGCAGAAATCAAATTAAATTTAATTACATTCCAATCATAAATCAACAAATTTCATTAGTTTATCATTTACCTGAGACCATCTTTTTCTGTTTCTGATTTTGGACATGTCCTTCATGTGAACAAAGAGCAGATTTTCTCCTGGCATCTGCCAGATAAGCTGTCCACCATAAGGTGTGGGGACTGGTGGGTGGATGAACTTTCATTGGCTTACCATGGACTGAAATAAAAATATAAAAATGTTAAGAAGTTTGGGAGAGTTTCAATGGGAAAAAAAAAATTAAAATAGGTTCAGTCGATTCAATGACGGGTTGTTTTTTTTCAAGACTATGTAAAACGGATTTTTCTTTTCCAAAAACAAAAAAGGTCATGGGGGGTGGGGAGTCCATTGATGTGAGCGTCTTGACTTTTAAATAATATTGGTGATTTTATAGAATGTAAACACATCACGCCCACAGGGTGGGCCTCTTTTAAAAGATTCACTACAAGCTCTCTGACCTGCAGGCCACATCCATACAGCTGACCAGATCCTTGACCCAACGGTTGGGCACACGTTCATTATTGTCATCCAACTCCATGGCGTCATCAAAGAAAATGTGAGCTGAAATAATAGGCAGAACATTTATAGAATGTTTTTGGAAGATTGTTTAGACTTGTAAATTGAGTTAAGGACACATAACAGATTTTGGAAGATTGTTTAGACTTGTAAATTGAGTTAATGACACCTAACATATTTTGGAAGATTGTTTACACTTGTAAGTTGAGTTAATGACACCTAACAGATTTTGGAAGATTGTTTAGACTTGTAAATTGAGTTAAGGACACCTAACAGATTTTGGAAGATTGTTTAGACTTGTAAATTGAGTTAATGACACCTAACAGATTTTGGAAGATTGTTTAGACTTGTAAGTTGAGTTAAGGACACCTAACAGATTTTGGAAGATTGTTTAGACTTGTAAATTGAGTTAATGACACCTAACAGATTTTGGAAGATTGTTTAGACTTGTAAGTTGAGTTAATGACACCTAACAGATTTTGGAAGATTGTTTAGACTTGTAAATTGAGTTAAGGACACCTAACAGATTTTGGAAGATTGTTTAGACTTGTAAATTGAGTTAATGACACCTAACAGATTTTGGAAGATTGTTTAGACTTGTAAGTTGAGTTAAGGACACCTAACAGATTTTGGAAGATTGTTTAGACTTGTAAATTGAGTTAATGACACCTAACAGATTTTGGAAGATTGTTTAGACTTGTAAGTTGAGTTAATGACACCTAACAGATTTTGGAAGATTGTTTAGACTTGTAAATTGAGTTAAGGACACCTAACAGATTTTGGAAGATTGTTTAGACTTGTAAATTGAGTTAATGACACCTAACAGATTTTGGAAGATTGTTTAGACTTGTAAATTGAGTTAATGACACCTAACAGATTTTGGAAGATTGTTTAGACTTGTAAATTGAGTTAATGACATCTAACAGATTTTTTCTGTTTTTTTTTTTTTAAAATGATGAAGTCAGCAAATGCTTAAAAGGGAATTAAATTTATTTAATTTCTTGTAAATAAATGCCGTTTTATGCAGGGAGCCAACCCTACATACATAATGTAATAATATGACTTGTTTGTGTTGTTGATTGAGTTAGGAGAGCAGCACATCTAACTAGCTTTTTATTTCATTTGGCAGCTGTATTACGTCTAAAAAAAAAACTCATCTCCTTTTTTTATGTGGCACACAACATAGCTATAATTAACACTCATGTACCCAAATGGCACACAACATAGCTATAATTAACACTCATGTACCCAAATGGCACACAACATAGCTATAATTAACACTCATGTACCCAAATGGCACACAACATAGCTATAATTAACACTCATGTACCCAAATGGCACACAACATAGCTATAATTAACACTCATGTACCCAAATGGCACACAACATAGCTATAATTAACACTCATGTACCCAAATGGCACACAACATAGCTATAATTAACACTCATGTACCCAAATGGCACACAACATAGCTATAATTAACACTCATGTACCCAAATGGCACACAACATAGCTATAATTAACACTCATGTACCCAAATGGCACACAACATAGCTATAATTAACACTCATGTACCCAAATGGCACACAACATAGCTATAATTAACACTCATGTACCCAAATGGCACACAACATAGCTATAATTAACACTCATGTACCCAAATGGCACACAACATAGCTATAATTAACACTCATGTACCCAAATGGCACACAACATAGCTATAATTAACACTCATGTACCCAAATGGCACACAACATAGCTATAATTAACACTCATGTACCCAAATGGCACACAACATAGCTATAATTAACACTCATGTACCCAAATGGCACACAACATAGCTATAATTAACACTCATGTACCCAAATGGCACACAACATAGCTATAATTAACACTCATGTACCCAAATGGCACACAACAGAACAATAATTAACTGTTATATGCCCAAATGGCACATGAAGGCACTATAATTAACTTGTATATGTCCAAATGGCATACAAAGGAGCTGCAATTAAATTTCAAATGCCCAAAGTCTGAGGTATTTATTGCCGTCCATCCCAACAAACACATCTCTCACCCCACGGAAACCAGGTCCCTTATAATCAGAGCCAAATGCTCACTAAACACTGACTTCACCTCTTACAACCCCATAAGCAATTACATCTGGAACAATAATAAATACTTCACTGTGCCTGTGTAACACAGTCCAATATAAACAATTTCCCCACGCAAAATCATCTCTTGGAACCACCTGGACAATACCGCCGTAAACTCGATTTCAATCGAAAGCTTCAAAACTGCCCTAACATCAGCTAGCAGCCCTTAAAATACCAGCATCACATCCCCAACAGTTGCACATATGCCAGTGCAATGATTCAGCAACATACCCTACCAGAACCAGAAATAACATTAATAACAATAAAGGTTATTTTTGATGTAATACATTTTTCAGTGAAATTCCTAATATTTAATCCTCCATATTTAAGGCTGGACTGGTTCTTGATAAACAGAGACAAACATTTATTTTAGTTAAGCACAAGCCTATTACCTTCAAAATTGTAGAAGTCGGGATCGTATCCACCTTTGATTCTTTGGTTGGCCATCCTTCTGATATACTGATCTCTTGTCCAGTCTGATATACTGATCTCTTGTCCAGTCTGAGATTTAAACAAATTAATATTATCATCACAAGGTTAATTTAATATCTTCCTGATAGTTTTTTTCCTAGAATGCTTATTCTGAAAAAAAATAATTAAAGATTAATGTACCTTACTTTATCCCTCTGAATACAGTGCATACCCCCCATAACTTTAAATGTTTAACATTTAAATTACTCTAGTTTAAAAATTATTTTAATCATCCTCTTTATCCCATTACTGAAAAGGACAAGGTGCAATGCAAGGAAAACACAATTCTATTTGTGTGGATCGATAAAAGAATCTCAACTTGTCTTTAATAACTTATTAGGAACTCAACCTCAGCATTCTAATATTAAATTGTATTTTCTTAAATCTTTGATTCTTATTTGATTTAATGTACTTTTGTATTTCCTTGAATCTTGGTTCTTATTTGAGTCAATGTTCTGTACCCATGAGCCATAATTAAAACAAAAATAAATTGTTTAACACTCAAGTAGGTACATAGCACTAAACAAACCTGTGCAATGACTTCGGCAGTTGGACCATCTCTGTCTTTGTCTCATGCCACATCGTGGCACAGGCAAACAGCATGGGGACCGTTGGCTCTTCATCTCTGGGGGTTTCAGTAGTCCCAGATTCTATGGTTTCATCACTGACAAGCTCTTCATCACTGCCAGTGCCTTCCTCAAAATCTACATCTTCTCCACTATCAGTTCTCCTTCTCTTCTTGATTCTGCGTAGCTGTAAAAAGCATCGTTGGGATTTCAGGATTAAAGTCATGCAAACTTTAGAACATTATATTAGAACAGGTTATATACGTCTTACTTATTATTTTTAGCATTTCTACATCTATATAACCGTGCTTGCTATCTTGGCCCAGTGCTAGACATCCTGCATTGTAGGGAGGCAACATCTGACTTTTTCTTATGTGAATAATTATTTCCATATATATTTTTTTTATGTCCCTGCTTCAATAAACTCTTAATTTCAATAAGACAACTATTTGAGTGTTAAAATCTCAACCTCCAAAACCAGCTTAGACTGGTATAAAAATGGAACATCTTTGCCATGCTCCCTTTGCACAATGTTTTGAGCAAATAGATTTTAAAATAAAGAACTTTAGTTTAGAATACAAAAGTTGCAAGCTAGCCTTCATACTTTTATTTAAAAAGTCTCCCTCATAGACATCAATAACTTTGGGAAGATAAAACAAAATACATTTTATTTAAGTGCCAAGAAGTGTGAAACGCAAGCCAATGAGAGGCTAAAATGAGCTTTGTAACAAATGGGGATTAGTGTTGTTTTTTCAGCAGACACAATCTGTAATTTGAATAGTACATTTGTTAAAAAAAAAAATCAGCTTGGAGCTATAACAATGTTCACCTTGTAGTTCTTGGCTTCAACTTCTCCATCATCATTAATCTTTAGAATCTGGTCCACTTTGCATGGATGCCTTCTTCGATTCAACAGAATTGACTCAACTGTTAGGACCCCACAGTAAACAGGATTTATAAATATCCTGAAATTTTAAAAATTATATCTTGTATTATCTATTCTAGGATTCAACAATGCTCAAAGCAGATTTGATCTTCTCTATATCCAGCTATATCAAAATTTTGTCAATAAATAAATTAAGTATTAAGTACGTAATTTTTGAAAAACAAAAAATGCTTACATAACAAATTATTAAAAATTATACTATACAGTCATAAAAATAATTAGCATTTTAAATTAGATAATATTTACTTGTTTAAAATCTTGTTTTCAAGACTGGATTCCAGTTACCTTTCCATGTTGGCTGTTCTATCCACCTGAGGTCTCCAAATATGGTGGGTTAAGATCATCAAAGAAACCCACTATCCAATGCCAAATATTATATGATACCAGTTCCCTGAAATTTCAATGAGGCTGCCTATGTTTTCACATGCTGTTGGAGTATTAGTTACACTTGTCAAAAAATGGTAATTACATTCCAGAACAAATACCACGACTGCTGCGGGGCTGGCCAAAAGTAATGGAACACTGAGGGAGGGAATTTGCATCTGGAACATGCAGGCTCCAAATGAAGTGTAGAAGGCCACAAAAGCTGCAATAAAATATCACCAAAAAAAAAAATTAACATCAATAGAATTACTGTTCTCCACACCCAGAATAAATTTAGACATACAGCAGATGTAAAAAAAAATGAAATAACATTGTTTTTGTCGCAGTATTTTCTGACACTTCTGAAGCTGTTTTCCTCTTCTGTATAATAGGATGACAAAGCATGCATTTGTTAATAAATAATTTTATTAATTTCTATAAACAAAAATTAGGTGATCAAGCAATTTTAAACAAGGGATGTGTATGTTGTTTTATCATTGAAAAAAAATTACAACCATCCCTGTTTTTTAAAATTAAGTTATTAGTTATAACTGATATTTCATAGCAGTATGATATAGTTAGTAGATAAGTTTTAAATTCATACCTGAAAGTGTGAGTGTTATGATGATTGATACAGATCTCAGCTGATCATTTGCAACATGCATCTTCTGTAGGGCTGATATGTAATCAAGGGTCACATCTGTGTTGAGTTGGTAGCCCTAGGGAATTATCTTTAAATGTTAGTAGCCATAGAGATGATTCTTTCATTGTCAAGTTCAAGGTTTTAAAACTGCTGAGATATTTTGAGTCAAGGATTATCAAATGTTTGCGTTGAGTTGTGTTAAAATAATTAATCAGATCATGTCAGCTCTGTTAAACTAAGGGGGTGGGAGAATTTATTCAGCTGTGAGTGAAGATAATTGGTGGAAAATTGGGTGGCAATAAAGAACCTCGGTGTGTGGATACAGTGAGAGCAGATGTGTTCTTGGGGAGATTTAACTCATGATAGAAAGATATAACTAGACCAGTGCTGTGGAAATTTATGCTGAAGTCAGTTGACTAGGAAAAACACCTGATTTTTTACATAGACAGGACATATAGGGTAAATAAAACAGATATATTACGGTATGCAACCTGGAATTGGGTTCTTTCGCAACACACTTCTGAATGTCATTCTTCATATAAGAACAGACACAAGTATGTAACATTATT